TGCAAATTGACCGCAAAAAACACCACACACAGTTCCAGGGGTAAAATTGATAGCCTACTAATGTTATTCTTACATTTAAAATAAAAATGTAGCACTGGTTGACCAATAACAGTCATAATTTATGACATAATTTATGTCAGTGGGGTGTGCATGAGAGCATATTTGACTTTGGAAGAGTTTCTCTGTCGCGTCAGTGGTGCTGCTGTCTTTTCTGCCGACCTGCAACTTCTTCATCTGGTAAGTAATAATTCTTATAATGTGTATACGGATTCTAGCTAATAACTTTAAAGTTTTTAGAATAGCTGACCACGATTTCTACATTCAATTAAATCTATTCTAGACATTTTAATATAACATGTATATGATAGGCTACTCTTCAGCCCCGTTCACACCGCCAGCGACACGCAGCGACAAAGCGACAAGATCCCATTCATTTCAATGGAGCGCTGGCGACATCCGGCGACACGAGCGACAGTGACCGTTGGCGACAGAATGTGGGCGTGTCAAGCGACAAGAGACAAGCGACAAAAGTTGAGAATTTTCAACTTTATGCAAATGAGAAGCGATTTTCGCGAGCGACAACCAATAGGAAAGAAGACTTTCAGTGGAGCTCAGCTCACGTCACCGTCTCGAATGCAGTGCAGGCAAGACAGAAAGAAAGAGTTTGAGGACGATTTCACTGTTTTATATGATTTGACTGTAACCACATACATGGATAATAAAATGATGCATGGAAAAGAAACTGTCGACAGTGAGTTTAATTCATACATTTAACGTTATAGTTCGAGTGTTGTAATTATATGATGCACGTTAGCACTGCTGCAGTTCATTTTACAATTTCCCCTGCATTACATTGACTATTAGGGACAAGAAAATTGATTATTTGTCAAATTCGAATGACGTTTTTATAATTTGTGACAGTATGAGTGAGTTTAATTTGTTCATTGATCGATCGTTGATCTAGTAAATGATTTAATCCACTGAACACAGCTGTGGAGATATAAAAACACTCTCCCAACAGCACATGGTTTCTTTTTAGCCTTAAAAGTCATTTATTCCCAGTCAAATTAAAATTATATATCACTTGTGATGGTCTTTTGTATAGATATGGCCAGACGTGCAGTCTACCAATAACACAAGAGCGACAGCACTACGAACGCCCACAAGCGACATCACAGTACAGAGCCTAGCGACACAGAGCGACAAAATCGCTGGCGGTGTGAACGGGGCTTTCAATACCATTTCGGGGCATGTTACTGTAAATTCAAATACATTAGTACGAAATGACCGCGAAAAATAACCACAACCAGCTGCCATTTTATGAAGAACTCTTCAGTTCCCTTCTCTCTGTAAGAACGCGCAGGCCGTGCATCGCGTCGCTGTCGGCAACGTTTTCGCCATATCTGGTTAGTAATTCATATTTTTATAAAAACCATACGTACGTTAACAGAACGTTAAAAAGAAGTGGCCGCGGAATGTTCTATAAGCCAGTCAGACGCGGATTTCTTTCATCTTGATAGCCTAACTTACTTGATTAAATATGTGATTTTATTAACATATATTTCATATGTAACCTCTTATAAGGTCAAAATGGTCTAATCATTTTGTTATTTACCACGTTAAATCGGTGAAAGCGCCTGCACGTTCATTATTTTATAACTTATAGGGGTTAGGAATTGAAAATCGATAAATGTATCCTGAAATCGGATATCCAAGGTTAGGATTCGGATTTATTGTTATAAAATTAAAGTGTCAATTCCTCTTATTGATTTTTTCACGCTTTTTTTCCGTGTAAATCCTGACCTGGCGTTCTGCCATTTAACGTTAACGTTAACTTACCTCAGTGATAACTGGACCACGGAAAGCGCCCAGGTGTATTTTTGTCCAAAATACAAAGCTATGTGTGACATTTACTGTATTGGCTATAATATCATTGTTTTTTTTTTTTTTTTAAACTATGTGTAAACTGACATGTCATTTGAAGGGAACGATGCCTTGTCAAGCGTTTTTTAAGTCATGTATCACACAAGCAAGATTTAACCTACGTTTTCTCGTGATCGTAAATGAATTGATGTTGAGTTATGTTTCAGCTTGCGTTGCATTCAAAAGAAAAGAGTGGACGATAAAGATGAGTTATCTTTAGCCGTTCTTGGCATAATTATTTCAGCTGTTGACACATCAGTCTCACGGTCGCAGCACAGAGAGTAATGAAGATTCTCTCAGTAATATGATCCTCTTAACTACGGTAAATCAACTTGGACAAACATAATAATAATACAAACGCATCCTCCATAGCCTATACTTTAGTGCCCTCTTGTGGCATAAACATATGCACAACACTGAACAGTATAGCATTGCATTATATTACACAGCATACAACTGAGGACATAATGAACATACTTTAACAATTGATTTTAAACAACAGTCCAACAAACAAGATTCTAGTATTAAGTGTTACACTTTAGACATTATTTTGTCTGTTTTTGCTGTTTAGCCAAAACAACAACAACAAAAACGTACTGTATTTTAACTGTCTTGTCTGTTCTCCTTTTCCACAGGTGTGAGCTGTGCATGTTAAGAAGACCCCTATCCATCTTGATGACCGATGAATTGTAAATCTAATCTAATTTAATTATTCTATTTATCTAACTATTACTACTATACCATGGTCCAGTACTGACCCACTGAGAACATTTTAAACAGATTATTATCCATCTGTGAATTTTGTCTATCTGCAAGTTGTTAAGAATTGTTGTGTGAAAATAAACGTTGTTGTACAGTTTAAGGTTTAATTGCATAAAAGCTTGGATAGAAAACTTCCTATTGCAAAAGTTAGAACATAAGTCTGCATATAAATGATTATTAATACCGTAATGCAAGTTTTTCATGGCACATGTGCATGATGAGGTTGTTTTGTGTTTAGTTTTTTTTTTTAAAGGACACTGGATAACTTGTCATTTTGTAATACTCATCTGGATTGGTGGTTTACTTGTCAAAGCTAGTTTATATGTGTCTCCCAGCCCTGCAAATCTGGTCCCTTAGATAGAAAGCAGCCAAAACCCCTTTAAAATCAGCAACTGACCAGTTAGACAGTCTATCTCAAACCAATAGACAATCTTAGACTAGTTTAAGCTGTTTTACCCCAGCAGGGAGTGGGTGGATGAGTTGTTATGAACTATCTTTCTAATAGATTGATCAGATAGCACCCCTTTAATCTTTTCTATTTTACCTCTTCATGATAATTTTTGCATGTATTTATGCATAATTGTTCATGATTGTCATGCATGATTTTTATTGTATTATATTACATTTTTATTATTAATGTATTTAATTGTATTAATGTATTTAAATGTATATTATAAATGCACTAATGTGTTTGAAAATACACAATAAACCTTGTGCAGTTAAAGCTTCAATTGTTCTTTTTTCTATTTCCCATTAACAGTTAAAATAATATTTCTACGGATTTTCTACAGGTTACACAGTAGCACTATAAAATAAATACAATAACATTACATACTATACAGTATTATTAAAAATTAACAGTGTAATTCTGTACTTTAATATGGTAAGAAATTACAGTAAAATAATGTTATTTAATTTGCAGTATGCTTAACAGTACTGTTGTTAGTGTTACGGTAATTTTACTGTTAAATGAAATACAGCAAGTACTGGATAATTGTTGCCAGTAAGTTACTGTTAATTTGACAAGAAATTTTTTACAGTGTAAGGGACTGGCTCTTGACGGCCCATAAAGTCAAGGTGAAAAGGCTTACATATTCCATGTGCCTACAGCGGCTCAATTATAAGTTTATCAAGCGACGAGACTACTTTTTGTGTGAAAAAAAAACATAAATAACGACTTTATTCCACTATTCCATTACTTCCTTATGGGTGCATGCGCGAGAACTGAGACGAGGACGTTCTCCTTCGACTACTTCTTGTTACCGGCTGCTCCGCTTAGGAGTATTACCGCCACCTACCGTATAAGATGATGGTCCAAATATAAGGCGCTCCGGATTATAAGGAACACTGTCGTTTTTTTAAAAGATTAAAGGCTTTTAAGTGCACCTTATAGTGCGGAAAATACGCTAATTGAAAAGCGTATGTACAACGCGCATCTTCCTCTGCTTGTAAACAGAAAGTTTTGCGCTTCCAGCTATATATCAGCACATCATCTTATACGGTAGGTGGCGGTAATACTCCTAAGCGGTGAGCACTCGGTAAGAAGTCGAAGGAGAACGTCCTCGGCTCAGTTCTCGCGCATGCGCCCATAAGGAAGTAATGGAATAGTGGAGTAAAGTCGTTATTTATGTTTTTTTTTTTTCACACAAAAAGTAGTCTCGTCGCTTGATAAACTTATAATTGAGCCGCTGTAGGCACATGGAATATGTAAGCCTTTTCACCTTGACTTTATGGGCCGTCAAGAGCCAGTCCCTTAGGCAGTCTATGTAGGACTGATCCAGCTCTCAGATTTAATCAAAAATATCTTTATTTGTGTTCCGAAGATGAACGAAGGTCTTACGGGGTTGGAACAGCATGGGGGTGAGTAATTAATGACTTAATTTTCATTTTTGGGTGAACTAACCTCTCTCTCTCGAGACTCTCTCTGGTCTCTGTTTCGACTCGGACTCGAGTGAGGTGGTCTCGACTACAACACTGGATGAAATGTTGACATGGTAAGATACTTTACAATTTTTAGTTCACTATACTGTAGCTGTAAAACTAACCTTGTACCAAAGGTCAAGTGTTATATGATGAAGTAAGCCATGCACAAAAACAAAATGGCTCTTTATAATAAGGTATGGTATTAGAATAGTGCAATCATGTTACAATATATATACAGTCATGTCACCTTTGACAGAGTGACCGAAGAAGCTCTCGCATGTCAACATCTAGTGCTGTTGAGTAAGTGTGGCATTACAGATCACATGTATCCGCCCAGCAACCACAGGAAGTCTTTTTTTGCAGCTGCTTCTTACTCAGCATCAGCAGGAAGTGCATGCTTCTATATGTACACACACACAAACACACACAACACACCTACAAGAGCCAGAAGTGAGCACTCGTGGCCCTCCATCCCGGAAAAAAACACGAGTCAGAGACCATGATCAAACGAAAACTGAGTGAGTACATTCGATTTCTGCCATAGTATGTGATCATTCAGATTAGCATCTCTTTGCCATGTGGCTTGTTCTTGTGGTGAAAGTCTCTGGTCAGTTAAGCAAATGCCTTATATATACGACCCACTGTCCTTGTCGAATCTATCAGGGAGGTTCTGGAGCAGGACTGTTGACATGATTGATTTTTATAATGGCCTTAAAGGGTATAATGCTCTGCTCTTATGAAGGTTAGTGTATTTGAAGGCACTAGTGCATAGACACATTTTTAAGAGGCTTTTTGTTGTTTTGCTCGTGTGCCGTGAGGTAAAGCCAAAGCCAGGATCATACCATTCTGAAGACAGTGATGGGATATGGGAATACCGTAATGACATTTGGGGATTCAGCTGCACCAAGCAAATGAATGTACTTTAGACTAGATCAATATGAGCCAAATTGAACATCGACCAAGAGAAAACAAACTCACGATGAAATTTTTAAGTCTTTTATATCAGATTAGTTTGAGTGTTATAAGGTCAAATAAGTACAAAGTAGGATATATTGATCAACTGCAACTGAGAGATGTATTGTGTAAAATTGTGAGCAAAAAATGTAAAAGCACAGTCATGAAAAACAAAAAACAACACATAAAAGTCACATTTTTAACTCATCAAAATAATACAAATTTTCAATCTTGAAGTCAATCCTACAGAGGATTCAGCTTGTTACTTTTACCCTGTTGAGCAAAAGGCAATAATATAAAAGATAACAATAAACCAATTTGCATTGCATGGATCATTTCATACTCCTGCCTTAACACACACAAAGAAAAAACAACAATTTAAACAAACACATTTGATTAGAAAATAATTCACAATCTGAAAAAGAAATATTTTTTAATAAATATATTCAACAAAGTCCTTGTGACATCAGTTCAAATAGTTTAACCCGAAATACTTTAACACTTTTTCTAAAAGTACGTATCCTACACCTGATTGATTCAGCCAAGTTTTCACTGACCCTTAAACAACACAAATGGTATAACACACTTGTTGCAAACACAACAGTGCAATCTTAGTTTTATGACAGTGGTTCAAACAAGCATTGATTCAATTTACACAGTTCAAACATTCAATGATTCAGTTTAAACAGTTCAAACACTGACTGTTCACTGATTCAGTGACTCAATTTTAAAACTCTTAATGATTCATTCAAAAGTTCAAATGCTCAGGATCTTTATCACTGTTCAATGACTCCGTTCAAACACTTAATGATTCGTTCAACTGTTCAAATTAATGCTCAGGATCTTTATCACTGTTTGACAATTTAGTGACTCAGTTCAAACGATCAAATACAGTTCCTCATAGAGGTTACTAGAATTCCCAGCCAGTCATAATTCAGCCAGATTCAATATCCAAAATACATATCCAAACTCAACACGCTCCACAGAAACGATGGAAAAGCAAACATTCTCGGAACAATAACCAGCGAAAAACTTGTTTGACGGTCCGTCTGTAACTTACCAGGGTTCAGTAGTAATGGTAAACCGGGAGATTCAAACCAGCCGTTTGTTTGCCATCTCTCGTCTCGCTGCCAGCGTTGATCCATAGCGAACTGACATGAGTCAGGGCTCAATAGCTGTGTTAAACCTGCAGTGTTAGTAGCACTTGCGGGTTCAGTATGAAATGTCCTTATTCCTTTATATCCGCGGACTTGCATGTGGCGCTGATGTCTGTTTCTAGCAATAGCAACCTGCTTCATATCACAGTCATGGTATTCACTCATCCATAAACATTATTAGAGCCTTCGGCATGACGACTAGTCCATAATTGGCTTTATGCACAGCTGCACTACTTCCTGAACTTCAGCCAGCCCCTTGTTTCCTATCTGCCATTATTGGGCAAACTTGATTAATTCAGGTGTGCCTGATTATTGTTGCCATGACTACTGAGGTCAGACACACCTGAATCAATCAATTTGTCCAATAATGGCAGACAGGAAACAAAGAGCTGGCTTAAGTTCAGGAAGTAGTGCAGCTGTGCATAAAGCCAACCCTACGCCTTTGTTATTATAAGAGGTTAGTGACCCCTAGTGATGACAAACTTACATATTGTAGCTTTAAAGTCAGTTTAATTTAATTTAAGTTTAAATGATTTAAACATCCAGGTTGATTATACTTAAAAGTTTAAGGCAGCAACTTTTCTTTTATAGAGCGGTTTTCATTCAGGAACAGCAAAAGCTTTTTACACTCTAAAAAATGCTGGGTTGTTTTAACCCAATTTTGGGTAAAATATGGACAAACCCAGTCATTGGGTTACATTTTTAAATTACATTTTTAACCCAATAGCTGGGTTTGTCCATATTTTACCCAAAATTGGGTTAAAAAAACCCAGCATTTTTTAGAGTGTAAAATAATTAAATACTGTATATGTTCGTATACACCAGTATTATGTATTGTATTGCGCCAGTATATGTATTGCCAGTAAAAGATCATTGAAAACATTTTACTGTAGGTTTTGTCTTACTAAAATTTGTCAAAATGGAATGTCCATTAAACTTTTGAACATTTAAATTGAAAAATAAACAGTACAATGAAATTATTACCAGAACTTTATGAAAAACACCTATTTTCCTGAGTAAATAAGGTAACCTTTTGATTCAAATCTATTTTTATTTCATAGGCTGACTATGTACTCCAGTGTGGTTTTAAAGCTCCTCTTTATATGTGAAAATGTGTATATGTTACATTTAAAAAAATTATGGACACATGAATGAACAGTAAAGTAGATATTTCAATATTTATTCTTTTATGCAGCTGCCATTTTAACGTCGAGTCACTGTTGAATCAACGCAGGTGCCAGTGTTGGATAACCGTTGAATTTTGAGGTTGTATAGTGTACAACTCAAAAATGTTTAATATTTTTATGTTGAATCCATAGTGAGTTAACAACACCACTTCAACTATTTGGTGTTCAAATTGTTTTGATGTTGAATTCATGTTTTTTCATAAACTGACATTATTTCAACAACATTTAAACATTTAATGTCAGTCGAATGCCAGCTGGGAAATATTAAGCAAGAAAACAGAATTTTTAGAAATCTATGGACCCTTTCACAGATGATGCGTTTCCACAGTTATCAGCATTGCAAAGCTAGAATCGTTTAAAATATTTTCATTTTTTACAAAATTTAATGCACATTTATAACTCAATACATTGTGTTTTATTTTCCTTGTCAGTAGGGGGGGAAAAAAACCCACATCGGCTGAGGGAGAGATTGATATCTTTCTCACTTCTGACCAACTTGATATCTCTCTCTTTATTTCCTCTTTTGAAAAGTCATGTACACTCTATCACATTTTATTTTATTTTCTTAGAGCAAATGGGAATACAAAATTGCATTTGCTGTAATCCCCTGTTCACCACTATAGAAGTTTACCCAACTATGAAGAAGCACAGAAATGTGAAAAGTGTCCAATTACTGTATTTTAAATGAACTGGACCTATGATTGATTATTGTGAATGTAAAAAGTAACAGTCTCAGCCCACAAACCTTGTTTCTTCCTTAATATCAGTTATACTTTTGCACAGTACAATACCCAGAAATACATTAAGAACTACATCACTTTTAATAGTCTCATGTGTTGCTGATTTAAGTCTACATGATGATTAATATACTCAGTCTGGACCAGACCACTTGACAAGAAACAAAACCAGAACAGGGCTAAACTCTGACGCTCCCCCGAGAGCTATAATTATTAAGATAAATGAGTCGACATTCCATCAATGACAGAGAGAAATTGAAGGGCAGGCCCTGACACTGAAGATCATGTTAGAAGCAAAATACGATAGTGCTTTATTTTAAGACTATAGCCTTCCTGTTTGTATAGTATCTTAATTTCCTCCCCCGTTCACCATTATCACTGTTCTGCAACCATGACAGAGAAATATTCTGGCTTCACTTATGAGAGTCAATTTAGACTTGGAGACTAAAGGGACCAATGAATGTTTTTTTCCCACAGACAAGGTCAGGTCTTGTATATTTACTTAAGAGGCTACATGTTTCTTTCTCACATTGAAAGAACTTTCGGAATGGCAGGGACCCTATAGGGTCCACAGTCCTATAAACCTTTTACTTTTTGACCATTCAAGACACTTAGAAAACTGAAGAGTTACAGCATAGACAACATGTTTTCTCCCTTCTCAGGCTTCAAGTGGTTTGGTAGCCTCACCAACCTCCGGCGTAAATCAGATGCCCAGAAGGAAGACAGATCCGTCAAAGAGCTGGCCGCTGACGATATGGGCATGAGTCCACGGAGCCAGAGCTACGCCAGCTCCAGTGAAATGTACACGCACATGGGCACCATGCCACGTCACCCGAAGAAGGACAAAATCTTGAAGAAGAGCAAGTCCAAGGAGAAGAACAACCTCAGTCGGAGTCAAAGCTTGACACCTTCACAAGACCATGTGTTTGATTCACCCCTTCTTAGCGTACTTCAGGGCCTGGAGGTCCTGGAAAACCCCATTATGGAGGAGAAGTTAACTGCTGGGACTAGAGATAGTAGCATCCAGAATCGTGACCTTCCAACTCCACCAACTGTGGATGGACACTCAACAAAGCTGGAAGAGGAACATAAGGAGCCTGTAGTCGACTCCAAGGTACATGTCGATCCACCGAAGGTCCATCGAGAGCCTTCACCAGATCTACGTTTGAGCAAAGAGTCAAACGTCCAGCCAATGCTGCCCAAGAAAAAACTTAGAGAAGATACCTCTGTGAAGGGTGCTGAGGAGCTCCAGGTGAAGATGAGCAGCCATACAGAGCAGAAGACAGCAGTTAGAGAGGATCCTGATATAGAATCAGACTGTACACAGGAAAAGATGGGCCCTAGCAGGTAAAAATCAGATACATTACTTGATTTCTCAATGTGATATTTGTTTGTTGTATACCTTTAAAGTCCCCCTGTGGTGAAAAAATGAGTTTTTAAGGTTGTTTATATGTCCACTTGGTGTTTTTAATATGTTTTAAAGCAAACCAAGTGTAAATTCAAGTCAACACCGTTGCTGAGTATTTTTTTTTAAATAGTGTGATCGTCAACGAGTGGATATTTGAGCTGTTGTGAGCGAGTTGGAGGCGGGGCTCATTTGCATATTCATTGAACCACGTATAATAAATCAGGCAAGGGTTAGTTACATTCAAGCTATTTTGAGGCATTACGAATTTAAATATGTCATTTTGGTGATCAAAGGTGAGTTTTAAGGGATAAATGATTGGGGACTTTAGCTACGTTCAAAAACCACAAAATAAATGTGTAAAAAAAAAAAAAGGAAGGAAAAGTTTGCACACCACAGCTCCAAAAATAGAAAAATATTTATTTCATGGTCTAACCGTAGGTGATGTTTCAAGCCCAATGGCTCTTCATCAGATTATTTTTTCAATGGAAAACAAGAACAAGAAAAAAGCTAATTACACTGTGTCTCTAGTTGTTTTCACTGTTGATCTTAGTTGCATTGGTGTAAAATGTCAGTTTACACATCCAAGTGGTGTTCACTGCCTCTCTACACATCAAGGTTATTATAATTGTGCATTTTTTAATTATTTTTATTTTATTTTAATATAATATTTTAAAATTCCAATAAATTTCAGTTTAGGTTGTTAGTTTTAGTTTAGTTTTTTTTAACTTTGTGAACACATTTATATTTAATTTAGTTTCAGTTTTAGTTTATTATACTTAAGCAGAGTTAACAGAATCCTTCCAGTTAAAGACATTTAATTTCAGAAAAGTTTGCAGTTTACATTTAACTCTTGTACACACAGTTTGAGATTGAACAAAGAACCAAACAAATACCAAACTTTAAAGTATAAAAGTAAAAATTATTCATTTATACTCATTCATAATAAAGATGGAATCTTGTTAAACATGTGGTGTATAAGAAAAAAATATATATGCGTATGATTATTATTTTGTATTGGTTAGATTAAATGGTAAAGGCTTTTTACTTGTTGTATATTTTAATTTCATATACTCATAGTTATACTCATAATCATGTGTTCTATTCAGACCAGACATTTAGTTTACTTTTTCTCTGACAAATATCTTTGTGGGTTTTTTTGACATTTTTTTGTTTTCTGCTCAGTGTGGTATCCTGTCTAATATGTGTGGTATCTGGTTTTCTATTAAGTTTCACATAAGATGGTTATCTTACCTGGAATTAGGCCTACAGCTGAGCTGTATTTGCATATGGTCTAGAGTCTAGACGTGATGAAAAAACTTATTTGGCCATTTCGCCTTCTTAAAGGAAGGCTGCAGTCACATGTCCACATCAAGCTTGTGTTTACATTGAAAAATAAAGTAGCGCAGTGATGCAGTCCAATGGAAAAACTTGATTTTCCGGTACAGGATGAGAGGTTATTAATTACGATAACATATTAATTAATTATTTTTTCTAATTATAATTTTATTTCAGTTAGTTTTTCAGTAACTGTTGTTAGTTTTGTTTCATTTTAGTTTTTCGTTTATGTTGAAAATTTCACAACCTTGCTACACATCTGCTACACAAACCAGAAGCGAATGGCGCGACACATAACAAAACAAAAGATGAAGAAGAGAACTTGTCCAAGCACTGAGCCCTGAGGCACCCCAGTAGCTAGATGTTGGGTCTTAGACACCTCACCCCTCCACGTTATCCTGATACCCGAGGCTGCTTGGATGCGAAGGGAGTTCTTGCCCAGAACAGAACCATACCCGCCAAAATTGTCAATCGTATTTGACGATAGTGGTCCTGACCAGCCCGTTCTCATCCCAAGGCTTCATATACGACGCTTTTGCCAAAGCGTAGACATCCAACAAACATGGCACCCTTTAGCGTCAATATGAGACGCAGATATACTGTATGGGGCAGAAGGCGCCTCCTAGTGGTCTAACCCTAACCCTACCCCAGAACTAAACCTACCCATACTCTGTGCGTGTTATATTGACACTAAAGTGTGCCATGTGCGTTGGATGTCTACGCTTTGGCAAAAGCGTCGTATGACGCCTTTGGATGAGAATGCGTTGTCCAGACAGAAGTAATATCAAAGATATTGCGATGTAGCGGCAAAAGTTAAGGTGAAAGTAATCAAATCAAATCAATCAAGTTTCAAATGAACTGATAACGTATCATAAATTAAGACATTGCGGTGATATATTACAGAAAGGGTGCTAAATTCCCTCCATTGACCCATATCAATCATGGCATCCTAATAATTCCCATCCACTGAATGGGCTCGATCTCTCTCCTCTCCACCTGTAGCTGGGGTGAGTTCAGCGCACCATGGCTGCCGTCGCATTATCCATGATTGCAAAGTGCTTTGGGTGTAGGCTAGATAATAAAGTGCCATAAATGCTTCATTCATTCCTTCAACTCTTCACAGATAAATCAGGAAGCTGTACTGTAATGTCAGAGAAGAGTAATCCTCGTGTCCGACCACATACCGTGACAGCGTGGTTTTGAGATACAATATATCCTCGTTCCTTTGTGAAACGGTTCTGGCTCATTGTACATGTACATCAGGATTGATGTCACGCTTGAGATGATCTCATGAGATAGAGGCTGAGAAAAAAAAACATTACCGTGATTTCCGAGATCTGCTCATCGTGCTCTGCTCAGATGTTCTAAAGAGTATGGGTAACCAAACACTCGATAGACCCGATTGACTTTAAAAAATACTTTGGATGTTAATGGGGTCCAACAAATTGTCATGAGCTGTGTTCAAAGTACCTGAAATTTATTGAATTCATGGTGCAGTTAGAGAATTGAGATGTCCTTCAAGATGGCTGACATCAATGGGTTTACGGGTCATGGGCTGGAGGATGGAGGAGCGAGGAAACGAGGAAGCATCAATTTGAGTATTGAAAAGCACCCACCGTTTCAACAGTGACCCTCATAAATTCACATTAGAGGGCAGCAGAGAGCAACAGGATGAACAGGGATTCACAGGAAAGTTGTTGTTCATTCCTCTCAGCTTCCACAAGGACTTGACAGACTGTAGTCAGACTGGGAAATTGAATTTACAATTTTAAATTAGGAAACGCCTCATTGGGTCTTTTTTTTTTAGAAAAGGTTTTTGGTGTTGTCGTTGTCTTTTCATGTGTTAGAGTATGAAGTTGCACAAGGATCTAAGGTGAGTTTATCATTGTCAGCATGTTGTAAAATTCAACATGGTAATTGTAGTTTCCTCTAAAATTATACTGCTTCTACAAAAACATAACACTAATTATAATCTTTCTGTAATTTAATTTATTTAACTTTTTTAATTATGATGACAGTGGTGGCTAAATAATTGCATGTTATTTTGTAGGGTTATATATGATAGAAGTATTGAGTAAATAGTGAACTTGAAAAAATAATTAGCTCACTAAATATAACTATATACTTTGAATGCAACATTGCCTTTACAAAAGTGTCCATAGTTGTAATATCAAATTATAATGCTTTGTTACTTTGAGTTAGTTTTTAGTTGAGTTTTTAGTTAGTTTTTAAATCATTAACATTAATATTTAGTTGCTGTGCTACATTATCTGTTTAATCTGTTTTCAAATTAATGTGTAACATTCTCGTTATTTATTTCCTTGTTCACTGGAACATTAGATTTAATGAATATGTTCATTATAACATATCCAAATAACACAAATGCTTTTATAATCTTTATTGTTGTTTATTATATATGTGGGCAATTATGACAAATAATTTCCCCTTGGGGATTAATAAAGTATTACTGAATTGAACTGAGACATTGTATGGCAAAAAAATAATAATGATAACACAGTATTATTATGGTACCTTGTCTTGTTTTAATACAGGCCCAATTAGACCCACTTGGTCATAGCTTATTATAAACGACACCTGGTTTGTTGTTTGCGAGCAAGATATTTTCCCTGTCATTTGAGATTATGGCTGAAAGAGAATAATGATGTGAGGTCAGCCAGCACGGCTGGAGGATGTGAGAAATGTCTTCAGGAAACAGTCTTCCTGTGTTTGTATGCAATGTTTTAAGAGCTTCACCAGCATCACTTTACCAGGACAACCTCTGATAAAACAGTATCGATCATCTTTCACTAAACGAAGATCATTTGCATAGTCTAAATTCAATTTGTCACCTCATAAAATCTTGGTCGTGAGAGTGTTGAAACTTCTGTTTTACAATTCTTTGATTGACTGTGTATTAAATCAATGTTTTTCCAGTGTGTTTGGCAGCGGCTTCTACAGACTTCTGCGTTTATGAAACTTTTCCCACACTGAGAGTCATTTGTTGCCATGATTTGACAGTGAATATGCAGTTGCAGATTTATCAAACATCACTCTTCCCATAAGTTTGTTTCTCTCACAAGATTTGTGGTGATTTGTGGTTCTTCTTTACCAAAAGCTCCTTTTGTCATGTACTGTATGTATAAAAACTGGGGCTAGTTATTACACTTTTATACCAATGAAAATTCCTCAGGGATTATTAAAGTCAATTTCTGAAATGTTTGAACATTCAACAAGAAAATAAATCACAACATATCTATGTTGATACAGTATATTTTGGTATAATAATATAGAAATATGGAAATCAGTAATATATTCCTTTTTCATGCTAAATACTCCACACAATAAAAAACACATTATTATTAAAAATAATAATGCTTTTCCCATTTTGAACGTATTTTAATTGGTCTGAAAAAAACAGATTTGTCTGTACAAAAAGTAAAAGAATGATTCAATCATATGTCATTTTAATAAAGTAATCTTCCAATTACTGTGGTCAAATGCTCTCTCTGCAATTCCTCATTTCATCATGTCATTGATGTGGCGTGCAGAAGGAGGAACGTGAAGGAACACCCTTTTCACTTCCTTTGGATGTTAAAAAAAGGTCAAGTTCCTCTGTGAGCTTTACTAAGCATCTTCTGACGTGAAAACACGTGAAAACGAAACGGGAAGAGTAAAAAAATAGCTTTTTGATGACATCAGTCTCATTACAAGTCTCATTCTCTCCCTAAATTTGTTTTTTGTTTGACCTTGAGGTGGCTTTCAATATTTTTCGTTTTTCGTTTCAATTTCTTTATGAAAGTAACTGTGCATAATACTATGAGAATCTGCTGTCAGCTTTGCTTTGGAGTTTTATTTTGGAGGTTTATTTTACAAATATGACCAGCTGGTTAACTATATTGTGCAATATATAATATGAATCGTTTTCTTCTTTTTTTCTTTTCACAGACAGCTGGACACCACCGACAACCAACGAGAATACGTGGAAGTAAGGCTTTTTTTTCCTTTCTCTTATAGCAAGAAGTCACTTGGTAAAGTGTATTTAAACTAGGCAAATCTCTCATCCTTAATATTAAGAGCTGGAAAGAATTATCTATCTATAGTGCTTCAATCTGTCTGTTCTTTGAGGCTTCCTCCTGACAACTTGCTGAATATGGTTATTTCATGCTTAATTAGGCAAAATCCCTGTATTCATTAACTAAATGCACCATTTGGAGATGTAATAAGAAATTAATCTAATGAGTACTTTTGGAATGTGCTGATTTGGTGCAAATTAATGTCCTTCCTGTGCCTGCTCTTATTTACAGTCATTAAGATATTAGATTCTGCATTTAATTGCTGTGTAGTGATCTCTGCTGCCTCTAGATGGCGCTGTAAACTGTTCTTCATCTCCTCAAGCTCTGTGTAAGGGAAGGTTAGGTGTGGCCAAGCCTTCAAAACACACATTCTCATTTACACACACACTGTATAAAATATGTGCACACAAATACTGAAACAGCCTCTTTGTCTGTGACACATGCACACGGTATAATGGGTGGGAATTGTGAGGAAGTAAACAATTCTGATTCCTTAATTCTTTTAGTACTTTTGAGGATGAAACATTTGGGAAAATGCTGATCCCTGCAGTTTGCTGCCAAATGTTGCATGTAACGTATTCATTTGAATTGCATTATTTTTAAAAATTCTGGAAAGATAATGTGTATCTTTACACAATGACTTATAAATAACCAGTCATTAACTATAATGATTAAAAAGTACATAATGCAAATTTTGGCCCTCTAGCAGTTAAAAAACAAAACTGCATGCATTTTGCAGAAGAACATTGTTTTGGTTGGCCTCTGCGTGACTGTGCGGATGAAATGACCCTTCACAACAGATAATGATTTACAATCAAGTTCGAGAGCTATATGGTAAGTTATCTGTTCAATAAAATACCTTACCCATCTGTCGAGTAATAAAAATACCATCTCCGTTTTGCTTTGACAACATTTAAAATCCTTCAGTTTTCGATATCTCCAAAAAGCCAATCCAATGTTGATTCTTGTTTTATTACGAGCCCTGTCTTGTTCTTTTTGCCAGCGGACTCTCCTCTGTTCACCATTTGTTTAAAACGAGTGATTCCCTGGAGGTTGGAGATTTGTATTCTACATGTCAACCTTCCTTACTCGTTGTTACAACCTCCCACACTATACACGCGTCAAAGTAGCCTGCGCAACTTTTCTTTATTTACGGATATGACGAGACACGCACAGACGAGTGACGCATTTACACAATTTCCCATGAAAACCACCCGACAGGTCTAAACTATAAACAGTTACAATAGGCTTACTGAATAAGGGTAAGACAAAAGAAGAATTGATGATGTATTGACTCATCATTTAAATGTTGTTATTTTGGAAAAAAAAGTTACATAGTGTACCTTTAAGTCGTGAAAGCCTTATATACAATATAACATAATATACAATATAACAAACATGCTTTTCAAAAAATAATCTGATCATAGATGTTGCTATTTGTTTGGGATTTTGATAAGACTGGTCATGCAATATGATTCTGGTTCACTAAAAAGAACTGGCTGATAAGAGTCATTTGTTCAGAAATTGAATTGATAAAAGCGGTTTTTGTTTCCCACATAGATTTTTTTTACATTAAAAATCAAGTAGCAACATGGTCGCGAGGTCATCGAGGTCCAAAACTCTGTAAAGTTCTCAATGCACTAATGACTTAGTTAGCAGTTTAAAACTCCAATGAGTGAATGCATGGATAATTCAGTGTAGATATGTCACTGCAAGATGCTGACAGAGTGAATAGGGCTTGAAAAGAGTAACACAATGATCTTCATTATTTTATCTGTAAGAAACAGTATCAATGCTATAAAACAAATTACACAAATATACACATCTGTAGAACAACTGTGAAAAATGCTAAATATGGAAACACTGGCAATGAAAAAGGCTCTTTTCTTCAGTTTTGTTGTTAACCTTTCACAAAGTCATACTAGAGCACAGACAAAGTTCTTATTACTTATAGTAATATCCATATAAGTATTGTTGAATGAATAATACACAACTAAGCCTAAAATAAAGTCTTTTCAAAGTGTTATGTGATAAATAAGGTTTAATTTAACTATTTCCTTCCCCCAAAACAGACAGAACAGAGACAGAGAGTAGCAAAAAGATTCTGACAAAATACATTTGTTGGTTTTATTGTATATATTTTTTTAACACCCCACCCCAGACCTTTCTAATTTTCAAACTCTCGTTATGGCCATGAGTGGCAATACAACACGGCCATAACTGTTTATAAAAAAAAAATACAAAATTGTGTATTTATTTATTTATTTATTAATTTTACCTGCCATAGTCTTATTCATATTTTTTGTTAATCAATCTGTCTATCTTGGTATGTGTCAAATTTGACTAGTTTCCACCAAGTGACAGATGATTCTGCGGTATATTTGTACTAGTTTGATTGGGTGCACATCCTCCCTTCCCTCCATTTATAGGATGCCTCTCTTCTCTGCCACAGTATGAAAGTTTAATGGTGTCTGAGTTAAAATGAGTTTCTGCCCTGAATGTTCACTCTAATGGCAAAAAAAAAAACAGCTCTTTCAGCTGGAAACAGAGATGAACAACTGGTCTTCGCTCCAGAACAGAACGTTCCCAAAGGCCCAGACACTTGAGGTGTTTGTGATTGCGTTCTTCCATTCAACCATTGATATACGATGTTTATTTTCTGCTGGGCTGCCATCTCATTATCTCAGCTGTTCCTGGATCTCACACCTTTCCCAGCACCTTAGGATTGAACTCCTAACCTTTCTGCTTGCCGCTAACACCAATTAGGAGTTTCCTTTCAATAATTGTGTCGCTGAAAATCCTACTGAAAGATACCAAAGCTAATCTCTCGTAACAGCACTACAGTAGTTTGTACCACAGTGTTATGGTATCCCAAAGTAATACCATGATACTTTGATACTTGTCCAAAAATCATAGTATTTCCATTGTACCATATCTAGTAGCATGGTATTGCAGCCCGTTCTCATCCCAAGGCGTCATATACTCACGCTTTTGCCAATGCGTCAACATCCGACGCACATGGCACCCTTTAGCGTCAATAGACGCAGATATATATATGGGCCAGAAGACGCCTCCTATTGGTCTAACCCTAACCCTACCCCTGACCTAAACCTACCCATACTCTGTGCGTGTTATATTGACGCTAAAGGGTGCCATGTGCGTTGGATGTATACGCATTGACAAAAGCGTCATTTATTCAAGCGTCGGGTATTGCCATTGTACCATGTCCACCAAACATATTAAGATCATGGTTATTTTTGTTACATTTTAGCATAGTTTCATTTGTATTTATTAATTTCTTTTAATTTGATCACTTTTTTTTATTTCATGGGGACTTTAAAACGAGTTCATTTGGACACAAGAAGTAGTGAGGATAGCTATTGTGGTGATGTTCCATGGAAATCTCAATTCCACAATGCTATGGGAGATTGCCAGGTGGTTGCTCTAGACTTTTTTACTGGTCAAAAGAGGCCGATCCCTGGTCTCTGTGATATTTGGGATGCAAGTTATGTCTCAGGTCCTTCTTTCAATGTGTTTTGTGTGTTTTTATTGTGCACCAGGCAAATATCATAATTTAGATTGCTTAGTAAAGCAACAGCACCATTTACTCAACAAGCTGCACGATTTGTGCTGTCATGGTTAGTGGTTTTAAAAATGGCAGTAGTAATGCAAAAGAAGAACGAGACATGGAGAGGTGAACCGTAAGTGAAGAAAGACAGGCAATGAATTGAGAAAGACAAAGTGATGTAAACTCAACTGGTGAAAGATGGAGGTTGTGATACCCCTCTCCTGTTTTTCAGCATGGAAATACATACAGAACAGCCAGTTAGTCCATTTAAATCCAATCACTATACACAGCTCTGCATTGATTATACTGTAAATTGACTAGACCTCACACACTAACATGCTATTACTGCTACAGATCAAAAATGACCAAACTGCTTGATCAGCAAAAGCAGGGCCGACTTGGGCAGGAGCCATTGCATGGCAACTACAATACCCAGAATTCCAAGCGGGCCAAGCTCATTAATGTTAATGGCAAAGGGGGGAGGTGAGGCGTACGGGCCCTGTAGGCAGATGGAGGGAGAGACAAACCCCCTCCACCTTCTCATTATCAGTTCGCTCACAGAGTCTAGCTCCTCTCCATTGTACCACTGCACCCTGCCTGCAGGACACTCACTGTGTAATTAATATTTAACTGAGAGAGAGATTGAATGAAAGATTGAGGAGGGGTTGTGAAGGAAAATCCATGATCAGTAGATACACACAACAGCATGATACCGAAAACAAGAAATAGAGAGAGATCTGGGACAGAAAGGAAGGCAAGACAAATCAAGTTTTCTTTATTATCAGAGTTGTTTCTCCTATTGCGATGAGATTAAATCTAATTTAGGTAAATGCTGCTTTTCAGATTTCTTTCTCTTTTAGAGTTTCAGATGTGATCTGTTCCTTTATCTCGTACTGCTCGGCAGAATTGCCAAGGTCATGGTTTCATTGGGATGGAATTGGAAGAATAATGACTGTTTTCAAACATTTCCCTCCATCTTTAAAGGGATACTCCACTTTTTTTTGGAAATAAGCTCATTTTACAACTCTTTCAGAGTTAAACAGTTAAGTTTTACCGTTTTCGAATCCATTCAGCCGATTTTCTGATCTTTAGAAGAATATCGGTAACCACACAGTTTCTGGTCTCATTGACTTCCATAGTAGGAAAAAAATATACTATGGAAGTCAATGAGACCAGAAACTACCTGGTTACTGATATTCTTCTAAATATCAGAAAATCGGCTGAATGGTTTCGAAAACGGTAAAACCCAACTGTTTAACTCTGGGGGAGTTGTAAAATGAGCCTATTTCCAAAAAAAAAAAAAGTGGAGTATCCCTTTAACCTTTGGTTAGACAAATAGGTAGT